CAGCTGAGTACAAAACATAGAGAGGAAAACAAGAAGAAAAGGGACAAGAAGAGAGGGACACAACCTAGAACAGATAATGGATGTCTATTCTTTAAAAATTCTGTAGAATAGGGCTGTTTTAATGGTTGTCTTTTCAATTTAAAGGGCCCCATGCCTGTTTTCACTAGGACTGCAAATTTTCTAAATCCACCCCTGGTCACAGGGGAACAGATAATGGATGTCTATTCTATTAACATTTCTCTATCTGGAGAATGGGGCTGTTTGATGTTTTGTCTTCTCCATTCAGAGGGGCCCCCTGCCTGTCTTTGCCTAGGGCCCCACATTTCTTTAAATCCGCCACTGCAGAACATAAAAAAATAAAATGAACCAGAATGATTGAAAACTCCTTTTAAGGAGCTAATCTGGTTCTGTGGTTCTCCAGGGATCAATAAGGGTTCATCTGAAGATGTTTTTAGAACTGATCGGTGACCTTTAATTTATATATTCAGGTAGTTATTTATCTTAAGTAGAGTTTTTTTACACTTATTTTCTGTTGTTTAAATATTAATCAATATGTCAAATCGAATGAAAGCTTCACTGTCTCCGTTTTCCTATTTAGATGTTCATGACATGTATATATTTCCATCTACACTGCAAAAAACATCTAGAAATAAGTAAAAAATGTCTTAAATTAAGTGTATTTACCCTTAATTTGAGCAGGCAAACAAGATGATTTGCCAATGGAATTAGTATTTTTACTCCTAAAATAAGATAATTAGATAATATACACTTGAAATAAGACAAAGCAATTGTTTTTTCTTATTTTAAGCGTAAATTGTCTTGTTCCATTGGCAAAGTGTCTCACTTACCACCTGAATTCAAGAAAAAATGCACTTAATTTGAGTAAAAATGACTTATTTAGAGTTCCATTTTTTGCAGAGTACGAGCTGAAAATGTTCCCAGATTAGATTGCAGAAATCTGGTCATCTTAAAACAGAACCAAAGAAAAAAAAAAGGGCAGATTAGCTTCAGCCTGATGCGAGGGGGGGGGAGCAATCGTGTTTGAGAGGTAAGGCTGAGCCTAACCACCAATCGGAAATGATCACAGAGAGGAGATACTTATTTCTGCTGGTATCGGATCAAAATGCAAGATTTTAGTTCAGGCTCATGTCAAAAAGAACAAGATCCGGTGTCAGGAACAGATAACTTTCCAGATTATGTCCTTCAAAGTCAAAAATAATCTTAATGAAAACATTCATGCTGAACTAATGTTGCTATACAACCTCTTTATCTTTACAATTTAACATCTAAAGAATGGAAGGAGATAAGCCCATAGCTAATGCCGAGGCTAATTCTCCCCTCTGATGTCTGAAAACAGACGTCTTGACGACGATGATGGAGATAAAATTGTTTTGAGCCGATTTCTCCAGGAGATGCAGAGTTATCATTTTCCTTTATTTAATTTACACAGAGGTGAAAAGATTTTATTTTTTTCCCAGTTTGACACTCTGCCATAAATGACAGTAATCCATAAGGCCAATTTGTAATAAAGCTCCAGGCACATTTTAACAATGCCTCAAACAGACAAGGGAAGCATTTTTTTTTTTTTTCCACTGACTTGGCAGCACCAGCCTTTAGATAAATCTTTCCTGCTCGCTCTGTCTGAACAACCTGGTAATAAAACGGCGGCGAGGTTGAGGAAAAGACAGAGAGGGGGTGAAATGAGAGCCTGAGGGGCCGGGGAGAATTCACTGCGCAGGAGTTAATGAAGAGCGCGAGGAAGAGCGGAAAGCAAGGAGAGACGGTTAAGTGAGGATGTCAGCGGAGAGAGGCGAGCTAAAAACCCACACATTGCAGACGAAAACCTAAATGACTGGAGGCGCTGTGAACAACACTGCTGCTGAAACACAGGTGGATCACTGACTGCATCTGCAAGCGCTTCCTAGGCCTGATTGGCCCGGTCCCAATCAATGTTTATAAGGTTTGTGCCGGTCAAAGGTAAGAGGACGACTCCTCTTCCTCCTCATCTGTTCTAAACACACCAAATAAGCTCAGGGATCACGGGGACCGGATGAGCGAGCGTGTGGAGAGAGAGCTTGAGGCTTGAGGAGGATTCACTCAACGTGAGTTAATGAATTTTGCTGGGATGACATTCAAAAGCCGGATGACCCAGATGGGATTAACAACTTATATATTGGTAATTTTTACTGCACAAGAGGGATAAAGAGGAGAAGGGTGCAGGATGAGGGAAAAGGGAAGGAGAATAATCTCCTGGAGCGTGCACATAAATGAGTGCAAATCAAAGTCAGCAGCAGCATGTTTACCATCACAGAGGGGGTTGCGAAAATGATTGTGAAGGAAGAGCTCTGTGTGACTCATCTTACTTAATTGAGTCCTCTGATTGGGCTCCTTTTAACTTCTACGGCTTAAAGTAATCTGCGTTGAGTCACTCTACCTTGCACCACGGTGTACGAAGCTTCAACAGAGGACAGGTTGGTGATGACGGTGACGTCGTCGTCTCTGCCTGAGCTCTCGATGTCAATGTTGATGGAGCGCTCGATTTCCCGGTGGAGGCTCGTCACCATGCCCGTCGGATACGTCACGTTGGTCAAGCGGCCCTCGCTGTCATATCTAGGAAAAAAAAAAAGGATACAGTTTAAAGAGGGCGGCAAATAAAAATACAGCAGAGAAATATGCTGGTACATATTTCAGCTGTAGTTCTTAAAGCTAGCACTAGGGGGAAGCAGCGTGACATGTAACATTTTAAAGGAATTCAGGAATTGTAGACAAGACCATGACATGTAGATCTGTTAGATGCTGTGCAGAGACTTACTGATAGAACGTGGTCCATCCAGTCTCATCTGCCTTGGTGGCCAGCAGCCCCGTGTTCCCGCTGTAGCCCATCAGAGCCACTTCCTGGCCCATGGCAGACACACTGCGCAGGCCTCCAGTCGGGTCCAATCCGAGAGTCACCACCTGATTCTCAGGCAGCAACACCAGCCTGAGCAGGCCGGCTCCTCCTCCCTGTCCCTGGCCGTCCCTCCTGACCTTGATGGTGTTGTTGCAGTTGTCCACCAGCATGGCCAGCTCACCGTCAGGGCCGTAGGTGAAGTTGAAAAGGGGTTCGCCCGTCACGAGACTGACCGTCTGGATGTGAAGCCCGTCGCCGTCGAATACATAGAGCTCCTGCTCCCTTGGAGATGCCACCTCATACTGAGCCAAACCAGCAAACCCCACGCTGGAGAGGGCTGGACCCGGCCGGTTGGCCTGCACTGCCCTGATGCGAATGTTGTTGAGATCTGCGATGAAGAGAGTTCCATCAGGGGAGACGGCCAGCGACGCCGGGGAGTTCAAACCAGCATCGGGGGCGTAGCCATCATCGCCGTAAAAGCAGTTGCAGTTGACGTCATTTTTGCAGTCGCAGTCAGAGGCGGTTCCAGCCAGGAGGGAGATTTCCCCATTAGTGTTCACCTAAACCCAAACAGAAAACAAACGAACTGAATGTTTCTGCCAAAAACAAAAGTTTAGTTTAACTCAACACAAAGTAGGAATAATGTAACCTGGAAATCTCAGCCTGAACCAGATGAGCTGCCAGTTTTAGCAGCCAAAAATATCTCAAAAGAAGCTAATTTATTTTAAAATAGGAGGAAAGTCAAACAGAAGTTCTTGAAGTTTCTCCAGGGCATACCTGTCGGACTCGATTAATCTTCTTCTCGTCCGTTTCAGCGATGTAAAGGGTGCCGGTGTGGGATAAGGCGATGGCTGTGGCACTCTCCAGCGCTGCATGTATAGCCAGTTTACTGAGGCTGTAGTCGATGCCTGGAACCTGGCAATGCATGGGCCGACCGGCAATGATGCTCACCTATGGGAAACAGCAAATAACAGCTCAATAATCAACTAATGGGAAAGAAATTATGCAAAATAGCAAATACAAGCCTGCAGCAAGCAAATAAGTGCACATGGTACAGTGTATATATGTTTTATATATGTGTTTTTCTTTTTTTTTTTAGCATGGGGTGCTTTTTAAGCATTTTGGGGTTTGTAACATTAAGAAACATGTTCGATAGCTAAAGGTCCAAAGGGAACATGTTTGTGCCCTTTTCACAAACTGAAAAAGTGAGTTTTTTTATCTGTTTTTACATATTGATTCATATTTAAACAACAAAAATAAAGTGTAACATCCAGGGATGTGCCTTTCCTAAGATGAATATAATTAATCAATCGATATCGTTTATTACTGCCATCTGGTCGTCCGGTCTTCTCTGACTTCTGCCTGCTCTCTGTTTAACTCTTTTAAGTTGATTTTTCTTCAATCTCTTTAACTGACCTTTCCATCACTTTTCTATTATTTCCGCTCTCATTCAATCTTCTTTCTATCACTCTTGTAATCTTCTTCCTCTCCTATCAATCTAACACTAATCTAAAACAGAGACATAATACAAACAAAATCCCTTCCAAACACATTAGTATTTACATCAATGAAAACTTTTAATTTAATAAAGTAAGATTCTTGTTTCACACACCAGTTGGAAGTTGGTGATTTTTTTAGATGAGATATTGGAGTTATTCAGGTGTAGCAACAAAATCTGTGACCCACACAACATGTCGGGGACATCTGGTCATAGTATGAAGGTACAGTGACCAAATGTCCCCAATTTCTGGGGCCAGTCCCCATTTTGGACCACCTGTCCTCGGCTAAAGTCTTCCTCAGAAATGTCCCTGATTTGACCGTTGTATGAATGAAGGGAGAAATGTTGCTATACGCTAAGTTAAAGTTGTTATAAGAGGGGTTGGTATAAGATATTTTTCTGTTTTATCGTTTTGATTTAGGAGCATAGACTTCTAGGCTTAGATCTACTTTTCTACCACTCAGTCTTGATCTATGAACATTCCTCATGAAAGAAATATGACGCAGTAACAGGAAAACTGAATGAGACAAGATCTGCATGATCTGAGAATGATGGAGGACGAGATAACATCAAATGATTTGGCTGTTTTTATTTTTAGCTACAAATATTGTGGTAATGAGCATTTCTTTTATATTGAATCAATTGAGATGATAATAATAATAATAATATATATATGATGAGATTATACAGAAATAACCGTGACAGAAGTTGACTGGCACACAGAAACAGGTGCACAGGCGAGTGGGAGAAAATCTACAGGTTAATGAAAATCAGGTCAAAAGCAGAGAGAAGGAGCTTATATTATGATTGGGATCCTCATAGCCTTAGATGGCCAAGCTCAATCTGATATCAGTGTGTTTCCTGGACGGAGCCGCCTTTTACAGCTGCTTTTTGTATCTATGCTTCTTTTTCTATGTCTGCTTCTGTCTCCTTGAACCCCAGTGGGCCTCAGCAGATGGCCGCTCACACTGAGCCTGGTTCTGCTGGAGGTTTCTTCCTGTTCAAAGGGAGTTTTTCCTCTCCACTGTCGCTACAAGCATGCTTAGTGTGAGGGATTGCTGAAGAGTCAATGAGTCGATGCAATCAGCTGGTTTTCCTGGTTGATCTGGAACTGGAAAGTGACCTGAGATAACATGGTGTGAATTGGAGCTATAGAAACAAACTGAATAGAATTGAAAAGTATTAAATCAGCATATATAAAATGTTCCAATTGCACATGGGGTGTCTTTGCTTTAAATAAAACTGCTCCTTTCAGTGTTTATTATAGTATTTTTACCCTTTTGGCAGAATTCCCAATTCACAGATCCATAGAAATATGCTTTGATCAAAGCCAGTCCATTGTAGGTTTAACTATCTTGAGTTCTTGTACTGAAAATGGGCTTTTACCTTAGTTTAATGTCCTTTGAAGCGCTCTATATCATAGAAAGTTGGGTAATATTGGAACTAATAAAGGAGTTACTTTACAACTGTGATAAAACTTAAAACTTATACTTTTAAATTGGCCTGAGGAAGCCTAATTGGAACCAAATCTTGTCAGAACATTATAGCGAGTTTTCACCCTTAGGGGTTTTTGCCCATGTAGTACAGACCTGGTGGTTCTCAGTGATGCGTAAAATGACATTGTTTTCCAGGACATAGAGAGAGTTGTCCATGGGGTTCACTGCTAAGTCTGTGGGCCACTCCAGACGGACCTGTTAGGCAGAAACAGAGAGTGTATACGTTAGACAGTAACTAATGCCAAGGTTTAGCGAAGTCTCTTAATTTTTCTAAGTGACTGCGGAAGGCTTCTCTTTCTTCTCATCCATTCATTGATCCACACACTCCTTAATTCCTCCCTGTATCAGTCTCACCCTGACCCTCTGGCTGGCTGGTGTCCACGGAGCCTCACAGCTCAGCTCCCAGGGGACCCTACATCACAGCCATCAATCACCTTCACTCTCTCCCCTTACCTGGCTGACATCCATGCTGGCGTCACAGCTCAGCGGCCGGACGGCAGTGAGATCGTTGGCGCCAAGCAGAGTGGAGATGATGCCATTTTGGTCCACCTTGCGAATCATAGTGGCGTCCACAAAATACATCAGGCCATTTTTATCCACGGCGATGCCTGTCGAGTGCAGAGATGAACACCGCATGAGTGACGACTCATAACTCAACCCCAGCAGACATTTTAAGTCAATTAAACTCCACTCTGTGCGGCAGTCAAAAAAACGGATGGCAGCCCTGGCAGCTGGATCGCTGGGTGCCTCAGCAGATGGGGGGTGTGAGGGGATGGAACTGGCACTGAAATGTTGAGAAGGGTTTGTTTTCCCAATGACTCATCGGGATGCAGAGATGGGTGCCTCTCACAGGGCAGTTGCAGGCTGTGAGTGGAATGGAAAGCGGTCTTTTCTGCACTTTTACCTGCCCTGCTTTTTCACTTTGTGCACTTTTTCTGATCTCAGCGTTCAACTTGTCATTTATTCCTTACTAGTTTTTTTTTTTTAGCAGCTCTTTGGCCTAACATGAAGCTGTATTTCAAAATAAATTCTAGATGAACTGAGATACATAACAACAGAGGTACATAAGGGATCGACTACGGAATAAAATGACAGTTTATGTGTCTGGAATGGTATGGGAAAATTTTTTAAAAATAAAAAAAATCAGGAAGCGGCCGTTCCAACGGTTACATTTCCAAATTCCCCTGAGTGGTGCCCAACTTTACATGATTGAATAAAGTAAATGTGATTGGTCGATTGTTGTGGCGGAAGGTTCGCAATCAAGTTTGGTTGTGGCCGGTTTGTTGGAACCATCTTGCTAACTAGTTAGCATCTTAGTGCTAGTAGGTTCCCAATGGGAAATTCCATTGGGACCACGTAGCACTAAATTGGTGACTTAGAAACGACGCTGTCAAGGAACGCTATGGACAGCGGAAACATGCAAGAGGAGGAGAGTTTAGTGTCGGAGGTCGTGGATGAGTCTCCTCCGTC